GTGATGGGTCGAGCGACGAACCCGAAAGGATTCCGCTACCGATTTTCAACTGGTCGTCAGGACTTGCGTGCTGAAACAAGGATTTGAAATACAGCTTAATTGGAACAGCCGTTTATTAGGGACAAATCTTAAAGTTTGGATAATTGGGACAACCGCATAATCGGGACAAATATACTTGTCCCGATTAAGTGGAATCGACTGTAGTTGGAACTGAAGTTAGAGAAAACGAATAATTAATATACAATTATAAGAAGTTCCATAAATAAAACGGATTTATGAAGAACCCAAATGCTAGATCGAACGATAAACCTTCGAATAGAATTTCACAAGAGGAAATATCAATAGACGAAAACTAAAGATACACGAAACGACGAACAGAGAAATATATATGCGTGTGTGTGTATATAAATATATATATATATATGTCTTCGTTCGTTTATTCATAACGAGCGGACCATGAGTTATTGCCGTGGCAATTAAATCCGTTTTCCATTTATAATCCAAATTCTACTAACGAGAATTCATGGATAAACTCTACAAAAATCTGGCTTCGCCGAGAATTCGATTACTCTCTTATTTTTTATCCACTATTATCTACTACTCTTTTTTTTTAGTTTGTCCTACCAACATCCGGGGAATTTAAATGGTATTGCATAACGACCACTCATTGCAGATACCATGAAACAGTTGCAATTCCTACACAATCGTCTCCAACATATTTCTAGATTTTAAGTCAACTTTAAGTTTGAATATTGAAATCAACTTTTAAGTTTGATTGAATTGAATATACAAAATAAATTTAAGATGTTTAACCGTTGTAACAGTAATTTGTATCACTGCTGTGCATCCGAGTGAGCTTTAAGTAAAAGCTTAATCTTCAGATGTTATCGCTGCGCTCACCCCATGATCTGAAGGATGGTTTTAAGCAAACACTTACATAGGAAAATCGAGCCTGAGAATTGCGTTCAGCGTTGTTGCAGTTAACCGTTAACAAATCGCTGGCTCGTGTAAAATGCGTTCCGAACCGAGTATTTCCATGTGCGCATAATTGATCACTATTACTATTTTCTCTTATTTTCGCACATCAAATGCGGTGACAAATTATTAGACATCGCGTCAATCAAATCAATTTACTTCTCACGTAATCATTAGATAAGTAAATTTGTTTTGCAGAATATTCAGTTAAGAAAAATATTTTTATTAATTTTTGCTCACTGTTTATAGTAGACAGGAAATACCAACAAAATTGAAAACACACAAAAAAAAGTTATAAGTTCGACGCAACCTTAACCTTTTATTTGTTCATCGTACGAAGCGTTTCCTTGTGATTGAACAAAGGAAGTCGTGTAACCTAAATTTAAATCTGTAGCGATTGTGTGGGTGATGCATTTATAGGAAACTTAAACCTGAAGTCTATTTAGGTCTATTAGAATATGGTTCAAGATTGGTGCAACCTTAACCTTTATATATATATATTGCATTAATCGCACTTGATCCTGTGGTCATGCGAAACAAAGGATATCGGGTCTGAAAACGACGCGACTTTGTGCATAAGTAAATGAATATAGCACACATATAAACTGCAAATATACATATTTATTTTATAAGAGAAGTGTTGTTATGTAAGTGTAAATCTAAAATATTTTAATTAATTGGCAGAACGGAATTATTAATAGATCGCGGACCTTGAAATTTAATTCGCCATTTGGAGAGGGGAAAAGTCAATTTTTATGGGACGGGATTTTTTCCCATGGGATGGTTGAATTTCGGCGACACCATCGAATATTAAATTTTCGGTTTTGGTTTTCGGTGTCGCCTTCAACTTAGTTTTATTTTCCTTTCTTTTTTAACTTTTTTTTTTTTGTTTTTATACATATATATATATTCACTTTTTCTCATGTAAATTGTGAATGCGGTGGTGTTTGTGTCTGGCTTTTCGTATGTATGTGCGTGGTTATAGTCAGTGACCACATGGATTCCGACAAGCGGAACGGACACCTGAGATGAATCCGGACACTCGACACCCCCTTTGTCATCCGAGGTTTCTTCTCGAGAAGAGTAGTACCAACGGCGGATGAGTCCATCGCGGATCGATGTATGTATGTATGTGCATATGCGGTGAAGTTGCTGGTATGAAGAAAGAAAAGTTTTCGGAGGAAATTTTTAACGTAATTAAAATTATGTGTGCACGAGAGAATATTGTGTAGATATGTAGGCGCGCCTGCGTAATGGTAGTATACCTAAAATGTTGACTACCTGTAGCCCAATGGGCGGTCCGGGTCCGGCAGTCCGGCAACTCACCTGGTCAGGCCACTTCAGTTCCATAACAGAGCTCGACTCGTTTACATTACTTGCGATTAAGTGACATGTAGCGCGCGGACACTGACAGTGCGAGTTTGACATTGACACAAGTGTGCGAAGACCTTAGTGCGTTTTAGTCTTTGCATCTCTTCAGGGCGAAGCAATACCGGTGACCAGGATAGTTTAAAAAGTTAGTAGTAGAGCAGCTATTCAGGAAAGTCGTTAGAAAGTGCAAGAATACGACTACCCCTGCTCGGGAAAAGAACAAAACGAGAATCACAGCAAAGGAATCGCGTGCATATCAAATAATATAATCTACGGGCGTCCTGTACTAGAAGAGGGTCAGACCCAGATGACCTGCGGCTAAGAAAGGGTTAGTAGCTACAACCGAACCGAATAAATAACAGAGCTCTAAAATCCAGTTGGATTTCGGTGGAGAATCGTCGTAGCAATCACAGCCGTATCAATCGTAGCAAAACTGAGACCGGGACCTTGAATTCATAATACTTTTTACACAATAATAAGTTTTTTAATTGATTCGCTTATGTGTCAAAGGTGAGGATTACGTGCGGAGTGTAGGTAAATAGTCGGAGAAGAAAAATACTGCAGCGCGCGGTAATTGACGGAGAGAAAAACGCGAACAGAAAGCAAACAAATAAAGAAAAAAAAAGTCGAAGGCAAATGGAAATGGAAATAATGATCGGATGAGAATCTTTCGAGATGTGCCCGTCCGTGTAATTTCATATGGAAATGGTGTAATTTTGATTATAAAGTAGATTAATGCTCGGGATAGCCACTGCCATCGCCGGGGCAATTAGTTTTAAAGAACACTTGACTCGTTAATGGTGCCCATAGATCAGAGAGTTATTTATTAGTTTTCCCCCCTTCGACGATGGGTTTTCGATGCTGTTGTTGCCCATGCGATATCGCCGTGCATCCGGCGATTGTGTGATATTAGCTTTCACATTCTTTTTTCTTTCCATCTTCTTTTCTCTCTACTCGCGTTATTTTTTTTTTTCCTTCTTCTTTTACTTCTCGTCCTGAACGACCGTCTTCGGATTTCGCTCGCAATATGATAAAGAAGTTTCTATGCGCGACGTGGCTCTTCGCGGAATCGATACACTTTAAATGAGACGACCGTATTTGAAGGATGAGCAGACAGTCAGTCATTCAGTCCGTTAGATTCGCGGAGGCTATGGTATGAAGCGTTTTTGGATGGAATGGAGTAGATTGTACACTGAGCCCATTGCCATACCATTGAGGATGAGCGCGATACGAGCTGAGGGTGCAATCGCGATGATGTGTAACTTGACGGATGCTTAGGGTGTTGAAGCACAAGTATCTGACGTCCTTCTACCTGCTCCCTGCACAAGCACAAAGGTTGCATGCGTGCACACCTTTCAATATACTGCTAACATACCTCTTCAAGAGATGAGGTATAGGATGAAGGGAAGAATACCGAAAGAAAAGATGAAATAAAGAAAAGGCACCCCTTTAACATGACAATTGATATGATACTATGCCATTTCCCACCTCGGCTACCGGATCTCCTCCGTGCAGATATTTAAATGTAGTAGCACACACGCTCTTAGCTCCGACAATTGGCGTAGCGTATCCTTCTCAAACGTCGAATTACGGCGATCGGCGACAGCCGGTCTCGCTGATCGTCGTCTCGCATAACGTCGTCCCTTGCATATGTATCAATTAAGCCCTTGTACTGGACGTTCGCCACATGAATGAAACATGTTCTTTCGTGCAGTTCGTTAGTATGCCCGACGGCTTCTCCCATTTCTGGCGGTTTACACGCAAATTGCCGCCGCGGTATCGTAAGTCAACTACGACCAACCGATTTAAGATTTACACTGGCGCATGTTAATTCAAAAAAGAAACATATAAATTCGGTAGAGAATCGCACTTGAATATCATTAAAATATGAATTAATTCTCGTTGACGTCCCTCGGTTTCGTAACGTTGTTGATCGACCTGCGATGATGTCGATGTTGATGATGGTTGGTTGATACGTACGTTTGAAAGTGGACCACGAGAAAATCTAGAGAAAATATACTGTTTACGTTGGTAATGTGTTCTGAGCGACATCTGCGTTCCCTGGCACTTTTATCTTGATCATGGTATGTCTGGAAGTGGAGACATTAATTCCGAAGGTGTGGTCAATATATATATATATTAGATTTAGCTCGTTTTATGGCTTTCGCGAATATTGGCCCCGATATTAATCGCACCGAAATGTCAACCGAATCTAAGCCAGGTACCAAAAGAGAACCAAAATCTACAGCTCAAAATAAATAATAAAAAAAAAAGAAATAAATTCGCCATCATTAATCACGGAATGAATGAAAATCCCTTTCTTCTTCGTCTTTTTAATGCATACTTCTTTTTTTTGTTCACGCTTAACATTAAGTAAACATGTGGTGTGACAGGGTGTTTCGCACCAACTCAATCGATTGAGTTCCCAAGGAAACCTTGGTTGCTGGTGGGTTTTGAGTTCTGGTCGATGAATCGGCTGGCGAGTCGCGTGCCGCGACGAGAAAGTGATCTGGTACTCTTCGGCTGCGGCTGCTGAATGAAAATGCAAACGGGTTTGACTACTCGATGCAGATTCATTGAGCTCATAGGTTTTAGATCGTGAGCGTCTAGAGCGGATTAGGAATGACGGTTTGTTTGTGTTTCTCTATTTGCAGGAAGCGCAAGGAGGGATTGGAGGGTCACGCGGTCGCGGGCACCGGAGAAGTGGGTCCCCGGGGTATGGCAGAGCTGCCCGAGGGCGGCGTCCCTCCTGAGGACCAGCAGACTTGGAGGGCCTACTACGAGCACCCCCTGACTGCCGCCACAACGGCGATGCTAAACATCGGAGGCGGCGCCGAGGACCAGACTGCCACCATGGGCCTCATCTATGAATATTACAAACTGCCTCCCCTCACGACAGACTCCAAAGACAAATTGGCAGATATTTGGCCGTAAGTATTTAGAATAATAATACCGACCCGAGGCAGCTATATATCAAAAAGCGGGACTCCAAAACAAAATTTAAAATAAAAAAAAAAATCCGACAGTTCGAGAAAATTTATTGCCATATCCTATATATTGCACTGCATAATAGGATTATTATTGAAATGAGAGGGACAGCTATACGATCGTGTACAAATTTGGTTTACGCGCAAGGAAAAGACAGAGATAGAGAAGGTACCTACCCTTCGGTAGAATACATAATTCGGGCCGTTTGGGAATATGCTAAAACCTTCTTGATTTATCTGCTGACCCTCGCGCCTCCTAGGAGCCCCTTCCGCTCGATTTCACACATTCCCGAGGTAACGAACTATCGACTCTCCCGATCGAAATTATTCAAAAGGATGGCAAACCCGGGGATAAGTCCTTGTTTATTTACGCGCGCTCCCTCGGTAACTGCAACACATGTAATTTTAATCCGACTGATTAAAAATACCATACGGTAACGTGATCCCGATTGTATCTACCGGTAGTATCCCATTCTTATAAACAAATTACATCTCAGGTATATAAGACAATATTGAATAGTCGAAAGCATGAGAGATCAAGATAACGTATCTGTTATTGGCGTCGGATTTCAGGATGCGATCCTTTTTCACTTGCACTATCGAAGTGAAGAATGTGAGAGAGAAAGAGATGATGTAAAAAATACGTATGTGTGTGTATATATTTGGAGAGAGTAAAGGGGTTGGAGCCTGGGCATGAATAAGAATGGCGGTGAATACAATGGGTTTAAATTTGTATGAAGGTCTGTGCCGCACAATACGAATGAATAGAAGTGGATGAGCGATGATATTCGAGTAATGTTTCGCGAAAATCTCACTTGATGCGACATTTTTGCATAAATTTAGTCTTGCATCTTGTTGTCTCCGTCCTACCGCAGGCGGTTCCTTTCTAATGCGTGCTTGTGTTTAGGACTAACTCACAATCCAGTGGAATCCTTTCGTCCCAGCTCAAAGCGCCCAACGGGTTAGTAAGTGGGACGGGCCTTGAGCTGACTCCTCCTCTGAGCAGTGCTAGTCAACTAAGCTCTCAAGATATCCAAGGTTTATTTATAAACCAGCACGTTGGGTACGCACAGCCAGGCGCTTCCGGTACGCAGAATCTACAGATCGTGAAACGGGAGCCGGAAGACTTGAGCCATCACAGGAAGCTGGAGTCCAGTTCACCAGGACTGGATGGATCGATCATCGTGAGCAAGCATCAGCAGAGGCACAAGGTGAATACCAGAATTAGTAGATTTTCTTTTTGTCGCGCCGTTGACCGGTGGAATGATAAGGTATCACCAGGACATTCCATTACAATATCGATATAGAATTTGTTTAACAGTGATTTTGGTAGTTGTGATATTAAGTATAAAAGACATTTGATGCGTGTGATGAAGTGTGTACGGAAGTGTGAGTAATGTATGTGGTTATAGGTCGTGCTGGTGTCCTCTGGTGGTAGCCAGCCCGGAGACTTGGTGGTGGATGTGAATTCGATCAAAGATGAGAGCCATCGCGGCTTAAATTCCCCGCAGCACGGATCAAGATCCGTCAACGGAACGCCGACGTCGACCCATAGCAGTCTTTTGGCGGACGGTTCCAACGCCGGTCCCATTGAGTTCATTTCCACGGGCGAGCTGAAGCCTGCGATGTACAGCACCCAAATTTTCACACCCATGAGTCACGGCCACAGTGGCAGTGGTACCCCGTCGCCAATACCATACATTACCGACCACGTGACCCAATATACCCAAGGCGGTATCGGAGGCGGTGCGGGTGGATATGGCACGAACGTCGTCAGACCGGGCAGCTCGGCAGCCTTCTCGGTGGCGGAGCCGTACTACCGCGAGTACTTCACCACCGTGGCCTCCGGAGCTGGCACCCCCGAACCTGTTTACTCTACCCAATTGCGTCAGAGTCAGTTGACATATGGCGGTGACGAGGTGATCACCGGCGCCGGAGGCGGTGGCGGAGGAGGAGGCGGTGGCGGCGCCGTTGGTGGCACCACCGCCAGCTTCGTCGAGCGCTATGTACGACAATCAAGTGCGTACCACGGTAAAGGAGTCATAGCCGCCGCCACCGCCGCCGGCCTCACGGTGGATCTACCGAGTCCGGACAGTGGCATTGGGGCGGACGCAATTACACCGCGCGACCAAAACACTATGCAACAGGTGAGTCGACCCTCTCCTTCATTCTCCCCCAAATCGGAGCACATTTCACAACAATGCGGAACCGAGTCCCATCGTTCTAATAACTGCACTGCCACCACCATCAAGAACAACAGTTCTTCGTTGTCCGCACCATCAAAACAACTTGCTTTCCTGTTACAGTCGTTCGATTATACGGAACTCTGTCAGAACAACTCCGGTCTTCTGGATCCGCTATCCCTCAGCCAGCGTAGCAATGCATCGCAGTCACCAGGTTCACAGGCTAGCACACGGAGCCGACCTTGGCACGACTTCGGTCGCCAGAATGATGCAGACAAGATACAAATTCCAAAAATGTAAGTGTCGTCTTCACCAATGCAATCCATTGGCAATGGCAATCAATATTTTATAACCGTGTTTCATTGCAATTACATAGATTTTCCCCGGTCGGATTCAAATACCACCTGGAGACTCCGATCTCGACTTCGCAACGGCGGGAGGATGACCGTATCACATACATTAATAAGGGCCAATTTTATGGCATCACCCTCGAGTATGTGCAGGATCCCGACAAGCAGCTCAAATCGCAGACCGTCAAGGTAAGTGAGCAATTACTGCGTGCGTCTATTAATTGCTGTCATTAGAGGCAGCCACTTAGCAAAGGTTCTGCTGCTATTATACACACGTGATCGGTTTTATTTATGATACTCCACGGAAATGTGGGGTGTGCAGACCTTAACGGGCGGATGATAATAAGAGTCAAGTTTTTTCGGGCTGTGCGTTCAATTAGCAGCCACTTTAATTGTATCTTATAAATAATCTCATTCGATGTCTACCTATATATAATATATCCAATTATTCATCTATAACGCGGCTCTGCAAAAAGCGCAACGCAACCAACCAATAAAACGGACAAGCCAATAATCTCAATAAATAATATATAGAATTCAATATTTTTGCAGCAATTATTGCGTACGACCATTAACTTGTATATATATATATATTGATAATAATACTTTGCGCAAATCGTAATTGGTCGGAAGCCTTGGAATGAAAATTGCACAATTTCGGAGCTAAGCTTCGCGACCATCGACCATCGTCAATTAACAACTATGTGTTTGCAGAGCATCGTGATGTTGATGTTCAGAGAAGAGAAGAGCCCCGAGGATGAAATTAAAGCCTGGCAATTCTGGCACGGACGGCAGCACTCCGTCAAGCAGCGGATCTTGGATGCAGGTTAGTTTATACACGCACTCTCCATCATCCTTCCGCACCATCTCCTCTCGTACTCTTTCCACCATTCTGCATAATCAATAATAAAACCATTAAAAGTTTTCATGCTGCTATTATGAAATTATACGGCGTATTATAAGGTATTTGCATAATAACATTTTACGTACACAGTACGTACATGTTCCACGCGTTAAACAACATTCGATCCATCCATGAGCCGAAATTTTATTTAATATTTTATTACATTCTATTTTATTCGCATGTTTAATTATCATTTTTTTTTTGTCTTTGTCATCAAATAATAATATTAAAAAATAATCGAGTTTTATTGAATGTTTCTATGATAGATTTTTATAAAATGGTATTTTTTTCTGCATGATTATTTTACATTTAAGAAGTGTCTTTTGCATGGATAACGCAAGAAAACAACTGTTTCGTTCAAAAATATAAAATTTTCGTTGTATGTTGTAGACACGAAAAACAGTGTTGGATTGGTAGGATGCATTGAGGAGGTCGCACACAATGCCATCGCCGTATATTGGAATCCCATGGAGAGTGCAGCGAAGGTGAGTCACCGGAAAACAAAGGCCCTGTTCTTCTGACAATACTAAATAATTATGATTTTGTTTCGCAAGCAGATAAACATAGCTGTTCAATGTTTGAGCACGGATTTCAGTAGCCAGAAGGGTGTTAAAGGCTTGCCATTGCATTTGCAAATCGATACGTACGAGGATCCGCGAGACTCGAGCGTATTCCATAGAGGGTATTGCCAAATTAAAGTGTTTTGTGATAAGGTGAGCCAGTCGAATCGGACATAGTGAAGAGTATTGTATAATAATTATGTATATAGGGCGCGGAACGGAAGACTCGAGATGAAGAGAGGCGGGCGGCGAAGAGAAAAATGACTGCAACTGGTCGCAAGAAGCTGGACGAATTGTACCATCCCATGTGCGAGAGGTCCGAGTTCTATTCGATGACCGATCTCAGTAAACCGCCTGTGTTGTTCTCGCCCGCTGAGGATATCGACAAGGTAAGTGTCCAAGACCTGATGGTCATTGAACGTAGTTCTAAGGTAGTAATGCGTTGTTGTTAACTATTCGCAGCTGGCGTCGATGGAATTGCAAGGGTTTTACAGTCACGACACGGATGGTTCACTGAGTGGCTCAGTCCACAGCAATGACCACGTGAAATCAGCATCCCCTTTCTTGCTGCATACAGCATCGAAACCCCCCACAACGCCCACGCTCAAGTTCCATAATCATTTTCCACCAGACGCGGATAAGAAGGACTCGATCTTGGATAATAGTTTAAACACGGATGGTGGCGTCTTTCCGCCACCGCTGAAGAGGGCGAAAATGCTGGTATCCAGCGGTAACGGCGGGGGTCTAGGCACAAGCTCCGGTCCTCCACCACTTAATGAGCGTGTCATGCTGTACGTTCGCCAGGAGTCGGACGATGTCTACACACCGCTCCACGTCGTCCCTCCGAGTACGGCTGGACTCCTGAATGCGGTAAGTGTAGTAATTACAAGAATGATAACTGGCTGCTTGCTTTTTGCTTAACGTATGCATGGACCTGGACGTACTGGGCTTTACATTCATTCAATATGTCAACCGAACGATCAATCAATCAATCAATAATAACCCACTAAACTGGCATGTCATATAAACAATAACAATCTTTCTATATATTTTTTGTTTGTTTTGTTTTTGTTTTGTTCCGTGCTCAAGATGATCTCTCGCTCACAATATTTATATACATATATATATCTATATAACCGAATCGATATACATACATATATTATATATTTTGATATTATTCACATATTGTTATAAAGCTCAGTACTTCTTCTAAATCTATGCTAAAAAAGAAAGACAGAAATGCATTATTTTTCTCTCAGAAAATTAATTCTGTTTTCCTTATTTTGCAGATTGAGAATAAGTACAAAATTTCTGCTTCGAGCATAAATAACTTGTATCGCAAAAACAAAAAAGGGTAAGTTGGAGCAGTTAGTAGTGGTAGCTGGGTTTCACTAACGGCCCTACTAGCATTAACTAATCTGTGGAGTGTCTTTACGTGCAGAGTCTTTACCTCTGATCCTTGTTCCAGCATCACGGCCAAAATTGATGATGATATGTTAGCGTACTACTGCAACGAGGACCTGTTCCTGCTAGAGTTAAAGGCAGTCGACGAAGACCTATATGACATTACCTTTGTGGAACTCTGACCCGTACTCTCTCCCTTGTTGTGATTGTTTTCATTCTAATGTTTAAGAACAAAATGTTGATTACAGATTTTATTATTATTATTATTTTATTATTGATTGTTTATAGCTTCTAGAGTATTAAAATCATCATTATCCAATCCAATCATAAGTTATTGTTAGTTACTTACAGTTACAGTTATTATTATTTTATTTTTTTTTTAATTATTATTATTTTTTTATTTTGTTTTATATATATCACGAGATCACTGTTTTATTTGAAAAATATGAGTTGTGATCAAGTAGCATTCAATGTAATTGCGTGTGTCATGTTAAATGATCTCTGACAGTGATGGTCGGATCCATGGGGTGTAACTGTAAAACTGTATGTAAATAGGTTTAAGCATCATACTCATGAAGCCATACACCAGCCATCTCCCCATATTTGCTTGAAATTGAGAAAACGTACCTGACTTATGCTTTACTCGTATCGTAACGTAACATAACATATGGACGTGACGCCAAGTTGGGGCCCAACTGACTGAGGGTCTCCCCTATATTACAGACAGCTCTCTAAGCATGCCCATAATCTGCCAACTACTAGGATAGCAACTTTATGTTGATAAACTTTCGCAATATTATAAGTTAGGTTTTTTTTATAAAAATGTATTTTATAATATAATTGATTTTCTAAAATAAACTATAAAAGCAGAAACACCCCTTCAGCTCTCAATTCATTTCGACATTCTCCCACAGAACAGGACGAACATAATATAAAGAAACAAACAAATAGAGATGAACAACAATAGCCAGAACAATTTGCAATATAACAACAAAAACACACGTTTAACTTGGCTTCATGAGCATTCATCTTAAACTAAGTTACTACCTAACGTCGACAGGCACTCACACCCGAATAACATGAGCTTCATGTAGCAAAATAAAGAGACCAACCAAAAATTAATTAATTAATATATTACTATTTTGGTACTCATTAATATTTAATGTTTTTACTTCTGTTTTTTTTTATATATATACAGATATAAATTTTCATAGACTATATTTATCTATAAGATTTTTCAACACCTTTAATAATGATGATATTATTGTACAAACTTGTTCTAAATTTTTTTTAAGAGAGAAAAAAATATATTATAAGAAATATATTATTTTCTATATTTTTCACTTTTTATATGTCACATTTTTATGAAATATAATATTGAATATAACTATGCGATTCTTCTACAACCAAAGTCCCACGCGTAATTTGAAATCTCTTTATTTTGCCATCTATTGAGAAGGCTGGTAAACCTAAGTTCACTTGTACGAATGAGAAATGAAAATTGCTCTTAGGATATTCGAGAATTCAGGCAGAGAAAACTAATTGGCGTCATTTTTTCAAGGATTAAGGACCGCTGAATGATTCTCTGGATTCGTTGATGAATACAGATTTTCTGCGGAGAAAGCATTGAAGTTTTCACTTCCCTTGCATTGGCAGGTATTTCGGAAAGGAAATGGTGTATCTATATGTAACGTACTCTAGATTCTGTTGCACGCAGTACAATTTTATCTGATACTCATATATTGTCCATACATTATCCATAAATACATACATAATAAAGTTTTATAATGATACATGTACAATCATCTGCTATTCCTCCATCACCTTGTAGCCTTAATATTTCCATTGCTAAACTTACTCAACGAAGTATATACCCTCATTTGAAAGTTAATAGTCAAGATGGAAATACCGGAGAAGCTATTTGGTTATGCATTTTGATCTTATTTAGAATAGTGACAAATGTTTAAACATAGTTTAAAAACTAATACAAACGTTAACATATTAAATATAACATATTTGAAACTATTATTCGCAAAGACTCTTGCGTTCCCAATCTTTCCATCGACATTGAATCAGAGAAAGTAATTATAAATAAAACGATTAAAAAATTATATATAAAATAAACAACAAAATCAAAGTAAATCTGATTTGAAAATTATTATTTGACCATATTCTAAGTTCTTTTATAGTATATTTATATATATATTAAATGATTTTGTGGACCCTCCGGAGATCCGCGAACTACAGATTGGGAAGCGCTGGACTATACAAAAGACGAATTTTCAATGACATATATCAATAAACAATACCTCATATTGTATTAAGCCTATCATCATGTACATAACTCTACATTTTCCATAGTCTGGTTTAGCTAAAAGTAATAATACTATTTTTTACCTAATCTAATGCTCTAATTCATCTACGAAAGAAACTCTGATTACAGTTGTAATTATGGTAGTTTAAATATCAACTCTTCAATAATCATGTTGCTTTTACAAAGAGATATTTTACGATATTTGTACGAACACATACATCAATTAGATGTATTAGTACAATTGATACCGCTATGCTCTATGTAAATGTATCATTTATATTGTCACAATCTCTTAAGTGTACACTTAACTATGCACTTGTATGTTCATGTTTAATGGTAAGTTCACGTGTGTGCGGTTCTTTTGCGAGTTGTTCTGCCAATCAGAAAGAACAGAGTCACAACAAGAAAGCTCACACATGTGACCACACCACGACAATTCGCTAGAAATCATGTTCAAGCTTCTATGGAAACAATCCAACCAATAATAAATAACAATATTGAGATACATTTCTCTAATTTACAAAACAATGAACCGTACTTTTCGCTGGAAATATTCTATAGAATCATGTCATGCGTATCAGCCATACAAGATACGAATCTCTACTTTTCTGGCAGTTTTTGTGCCACTCTTTCCAATAAACATCCCCTTAGCTCTATTGTTATGTTATGTACAAATACTATAATCTAAAATATGTTATGATCAATATTAAACTACAATCATATTTGACTAGCTATATGCATAAGAAATGAAGGCTGTTTGATAAAACCATGTTGTACATGAATGTATCATACAATCTACAGTAGAACACAGTCTAAGACCCGATATCTTCAAGCTAGGATTACCGTCCAGCCAGAGGCTACGTTGGAAATTACCATCTTTTAAGTCTATTATTATGTACATGATCAGGTTTTCATTTATCTAGAAAATTATGTTTCAAACTTCCTTACAAACTTATGCACATGTGTACCTATTATTGAACAGTAAACAATGTTATTTCATAATTCAAATAAATTTTGTATACACTTATAAACTAATATTTCCGTGTTGAGTTTATCATTGCATAACTATGCATATGCGTTAACATATACATAATGTACTAAAATGGAAAAATTAAGAATTTAAAAAATTAAACTTAATATTTAGTTTTATAGCTACTTAAAGATCTATGGTTTTGGATAGCATCCAATTCACAAATGTAAATCACCAAAAAAACCGCAAATATATGTATATTTATTTACAATTAGAACGAACTACAAGATAGTTTCCGCTTTAAAATTAATTCTGTAATTTCTTTAAAAAGAAAATTACTCTTCACTTTACGATAAAATGAATTAAGTTTTAAAGTGGAACTATCTTTAGAAGTAGTACAAATTCATTTAAATCTATCAATATCCTTAGTTTTTTTTTTAATTTACACTTGTGTAGCTTTTAGCCTAATCCGACTCGACTCTGCGGTTTAGAACTGTTAAAAAACATGCAATTAAATAGAGACATGCACACTTAAGTCAAGCAACTCGCCTAAAACTGGTGTACAGATCTCTATGAGCGTTACTTATTAGCCCAAACCGCCGAGCCTAGTAAAATCCAACTGTATACAAAAAGCTATATACAATATGTATTTAAAGTTATGATTATATACTTATATGTTAATGTTTCCAATTTATGGAAAACTCTTATAGCTAATTAACAGGCATGTTCATTATAACTCGGTTTGTCTGTTTCGCATTATATGTAACAAACACATGCAAATGGGTATGTGCATACTTCCAACAATTAGGTTTAATATGCACATTACCATATACATGTATGTGTTACTTATTACTTGAAACAACCGAGTCTTTAAAATGGGTTTTACGTTAAAACAAACTTAAGTAAATCATATTTGACATTCAATTTAACCTAATTATATTTATATAAGAAATTGTATCTAGTATACGTTGAACTATACATAACTTTATTATTATTTTTTACATTCTAGTGTGTCTTTGTCGTGGTTTATGTTTAAAGCTTCTTACAGATCTGCTCGGTCCAGTTCGGCACAGCGATTCACAATTGTGGATTCATTACATAACACCGAGCTTTACCTAGCAGCAAGGTAAGAAACTTAAAAACTTTAAATGTTGAAATAAATTTTAAAAAAATAATAAGTATTCTATATTTAACTAATCCTATTTTTATAAGTATATGTCCTTGAAAGTAAATAGGTAACTATGTTTATAGCTTATTTTAAAACAGGATAAATTAATCCGTGTTTGTGTGGAAATCTCTGAATGGAGCTAGAGATTATCTGTCTTAATATTTCCACAATAAATTTAAGCTTTAGATCCATATATCTGCGATTGCATTGATCAGAAATCTAATGATTTTGAAGTTCTGATAACGATAATCTCAATCTAATGGTAATGTTAAATTGGAGGTAAAGTTGCAAATTTCTATAGAAACTTCTTTCTATGTCTATATGCTATGTAAGGAACAAAACTCTAATTGGCAGTTTATACTCCACTACTTTAAGAAACAATATTTCACCACAAAGTTCATACCATTTCAAAATCATTAAAAACTTGAATTAAATCTTGAATAAAATTTAGTGATCTAAATTAAAGCATACATTGAATCTGTAGTGTAAGTAAAAATAGAATTATGTAATAATAAGTTACAATATGTAACATAATTCAAGTTTTTAATGAATTAAGCTCCAATATATTATGTCTAAACACTTACATAATATATTACTTTGCAAGGGTTCGTAAATATCGTAAGATCAACCATTTTTTCATTGATTTTTTCGTTATAATGTTAGTATTAATGAAGAAAAAAAAAGTATTAAAATAAAACCCGAAAAATTATAAATAAAACAAAATATATTACATAATAAAGAAAACCTTTTTCCACAACTTAATCACAACTGAGACAATCATGAGGACAAACATAATATTCTTTCTTCTTTTTTTTGCCACTACCCAACATAATGACAAGTAGATTCTAATTGCGCAAATGATTTGAACAATTAATATTCGAAATCATTAGCACATCCAAATCAAAAGAAATTTCCGTATGGGTTCTATATAATATTATGTTTTTTGGATAAACCTGCAACTTCAAACTGTTATATGCCTTTGGTTTAACATGGAGAATTGTATAACTGTTACCTTTTCCTAGGAGCTTTTTCCGTTCTTGCCGTTGGTCGTCAGGACCTTATCAATGAGGCCGAAGTCCAGGGCCTCGGTTGGACTCATGAACTTATCGCGCTCCATGTTCTTCTCGATTTTATCTAAAGCGAGGCCGGTGTGCTTCACGTACAACTGATTTATTTGATGCTTCAACTTCAAGATTTCTTCGGCCTGGATTTGGATATCTGTTGCTTGACCCTAGAAATGTATGCCATTTGAACAATTCGTATTATATAACGGTAGGTATGCCAGCTTAAAAAACTGGTGCTATTAATGGCAACTTTCTAATGCAAAGTAATGATAAACTGAATTATAACAAAGACTGAAGATTTTACAAAGATCTTCATAATTATTTATTATTTAAACAACATTTTCATTAAAGTTAATAAGAATTTTAATGAGTCTTCAAATATTGTCTTAGGATGTACTGAATTGTAAGACTTTAAACAAACTATAAATAACATACAACAGTATATGGTTAAAATATAATTAAACTATTTTGTATACTGCATGGATGCCTTCAAAATTTGTATGTCACAGTGACTCATAAGCATTAGCATATGAATATTAATATCATACAATATATTCCCAAAATACAAACCATATGTGTCTGATTAGGTAGATTTATATGAGGATAGTAACTTAAGCCAGTGTTTAGCTTTTTCACTTTGATGCAAATTGTTTAGCCTTCAGTTGGTCATATATAAACCAATTTTTATTATTTTTTATAAAGTGACCTCAAAAGTGCCTTGAGTTAACCAACCTTCAAAATTGATATATGCTACATGTTCAGACCATCCTCATATAAAAGAACTTAAGAAATATGGAACCTTGCATATATATAGAGACCCAAGGAAATGTTGAATAAAAAAAAATACCTGGGCTCCACCAGAAGGCTGGTGAATCATGATCCTAGCATTTGGTAGTGAATATCTCATGCCAGCACTACCCGCAGATAGAAGTAGGGATCCCATACTGCAGGCCTGGCCCACACACCAAGTGGCAACTGGACATTGAATGTATTGCATGGTATCGTAGATGGCTAAGCCAGATGTGACAGAACCACCAGGACTGTTGATGTACATATGAATGGGTTTGTGGCTAGACTCGGACTGCAGGAAGAGAAGTTGTGCAATAATGACGGAACTAACGCTATCATGGATGGGGCCCATCAAGCAGATAATTCTCTCCTTAAGAAGTCTAGAGTAGATATCATAGGATCTCTCACCCCGGCCAGTCTGTTCCACCACAATAGGAATGTACCCAAAGTTGCGGACATTGCGGGGCTGAAAGACACATCAGCAATTAGAAATAATTAAAGCGCTTTGGGTTTGCATTACCTTCAGCAAGTTGACCAGAGCTCTTTTGAGTAGCATCTTCGGCCGGGAATCGAGTTGAACAATTTACAAACAAACGGCCGCATAACCTGATGTTGGTTGTTCTAGCGCAATTTTAGGCGTACCAACCTCTATTGCACCATTTTTCGCTGTTGCTGTTGCTGCGATTACTTGTTATTAATTGCAATTACATTTTCCGAATGGATAGCACGATTAGATGGATTAGGTTCCATTGTACGTACCATGTGAGTTCAATGGAATTGTAAATGAAATTCAAAAGATCTAATGAAAATAATTGAGAAGATCGAACTCTCGTAAACTAAACGAAAAACAAACAAATAAGAAAAAGTCGCGTTCGGTGCGCGCTCGATATATGCAAATTTGTTTGTGAATTGGTTATCAAATTGGAATTGGTAAATGGCAACACCGATACGGCAACGCTGCGTCGGTGTCCGGAAACCTATCAAAGCCAAATATAATTCAGCTTTATTGATTATTTTCATATGATTTTGATATTCTGGATGGCTGATGGAAATGTTAGGCTTGAGAGGCTCTGGGATCTGGACAGTGGTGGTGGGCGAGGCACGGGGTTGAAGGTGGTGCGCAGGGGGGACGGCAGCTGGTGTTTGGGAAGGCGGCGGCGGCGGCTGAGGAAGTAAATTTCGATAGCGCAGCGACCGGAACAGGGATGGGTTCTGGCGGCGCAACGGCTCCTGTCTGGTGGGAAGCGATTTGAAATTAGGGGATTTTCATGGACGTTGGTAATCCGGACCTCATCTCGAGTCGTTTCAGCGCTTCAGCGCATCATCTTCGGCGACGTCTGCACACTGTCTTCTCTCTCGCACTCTCCACCATTCGTGTTTAGCGTTCCGCAGTGCACAGAAGCCGGGAGTGTTTCGTTCCGACTTGGAAATAGCTCTTTCAGTAAAACAACACACAGGGACAACGTGCGATTCCCCGCAGCTCGCTCGCTCTTCGTTCAAAGGTATGTATCGAAGCCATTTCCACTGTTCGTGCGTTTTTCCGGCAATTTTCCTATGCAGTGCGGCCGTTCGTTTAGTTTTTCTTCCCCCCCATTTTTTTTAACTTTTCTTTCCTTCCTCGTCGGTTCGCCTCTCTAATACCGAGCCGCCATCTTGTCGTGCCCTTGCAGTATCATTTGTGAACCCCACATTGATCCACCATCATCACCATTGTAGTCGTGTTCTAGTCGCTGTCGTGTGTTAGTGAGTCGGCTGCTGCTGTACTTTTGGTCATTTTCTAATCAATCCGTAAGTTCAGATCCATCTAAACATTACATTTCAGACGTCATATTATTACTATTCCCTTATCTATTTTCATTTGTCGTTTTTTATTTCATTTGTTTCGTATTAATTTTTTTTCGTGTTACTTTGGGGAAAACTTGCATTATGCCGCATAACCAATCGCCACCTGAGACAATACGTGCTACAATTCGTTACTGTGCCGGCCCATTTCGATTTTAACTACATCCCCATGTTATTTGGGCGATGCGATGGTTTTACGGCCGCATGACGAGCATGGGTGACCTTCGACGGTCCCAGCAACCCCGGATCGATTTTTCTCGGAACCATTTCGTCCTCGACTCGCTTATATACCGAATTATTCATTCTGCTCGGCATTGACGTAATTGTGAGAGCGGATTCATCGAATTCCTGGGAAATGCCTCATCAAACATGGGTGCCGTATCGGAAACCGCCTTCCCGGTACTTAAAAAAAGATCAGTCGGGTCAGCATCTCTTCGTCAGCCCGAAAGCGAATAGGAAAGAAAAACTGTATGGGTGACGGGTAATTTGGAGGAGACAGTAGTAGTAGAATTCTTTCGCGTTTAATGCCGCGAATCTTGCGACGCATTAGTGAAAGGTGTGGCTGTGACCGCCGCCATATTGCGTCGGTCTTCCTCTTCTAGCGCACATTTGTAGTCACCACCACGATCATACGCGCCGGTTGACACGGTTGGTCGAAGAACGCGCAGGGGTGGTACAGTGTCTCTCTATCCCTCTTGGTGGAACGGCCAACCCTTGCTCCTATTTTTACTCATTTGGGGTTCAAGGGTACTGGAGTGCGCAGCACACACACCCTTCTATCTACCGTGTTACTAAGTGCGCCCTTTCTTCGGTTCCAGGCTAGACTTTAAGCAAATACAAACGAGATGTCTCAATTAGACAAAGATGAACTGGTGCAGCGCGCCAAGTTGGCCGAGCAGGCCGAAAGATACGATGACATGGCTTCGGCCATGAAGTCTGTCACCGAAACGGGTGTGGAACTAAGCAACGAGGAGAGGAACCTCCTGTCCGTCGCATACAAGAATGTTGTTGGAGCCAGGAGATCCTCCTGGAGGGTCATCTCTTCAATCGAACAAAAGACTGAAGGTTCTGAGCGCAAGCAGCAGATGGCCAAAGAATACAGGGAGAAAGTGGAGAAAGAACTCAGAGAAATTTGCTATGATGTTTTGGTAAGTCAATTTATTGATTAAACTGACCTCACCTCCTTTCATTTCTTTATTGAATTTATTCATTAATTTCTTAAATTTATTTTTCTCTATAGGGTCTCCTTGACCAATACCTCATCCCAAAAGCTAGCAATGCTGAATCCAAAGTATTCTATCTTAAAATGAAGGGAGATTACTACAGATATCTTGCTGAGGTTGCTACAGGAGATACCAGAAATAGTAAGTGTTAATCACCATTTTGACAACTTTATTGATTGTTCTGCATTTGGGTGTGTCAATATGAGGATGGATGTGTGTAACAAATTTTATTTACAGCCGTAGTGGATGACTCACAGAAGGCTTACCAAGATGCCTTTGAAATATCAAAAGCCAAGATGACTCCTACGCATCCAATCAGACTGGGACTTGCACTGAACTTCTCAGTTTTCTACTATGAGATCCTAAACTCACCCGATAAGGCTTGTCAACTAGCCAAGCAGGTCATTATTTTATTATGTTATTTCACAGGTGCTGTGCAGAATTTACATGTGGGCCGCCCTCTACATTTCTTTATTACTTTTTTAATCCATCTATCTATCTCTCTAAATGTTTGCCTTTTGTGTCTTTAACAGTCTCTATGAGCTAGTAAGCATTTTGTTGTTATATAGCTGTGGTAGAAGACTCTCAAAAGGCGTATCAGGAAGCGTTCGATATAGCCAAGTCCAAAATGCAGTCAACTCATCCCATTCGGCTCGGACTTGCCTTAAATTTCTCCGTGTTTTATTATGAAATCATAAATTCACCGGCACGGGCCTGTCACCTTGCTAAGCAGGTTATAATAGATGTTTTCTTAATTGGCGTGCTCTAACCACATGTACTTCTGCGTGGCACTAACAGCATCCGTAGTTCATGATTTTCATTCTTTTCTTTTTTTTTAATTTATTTTTATAATTTATATGAGTCACTTCAGAAAGGATGACGCTAACTTATTTTTTTTTCGTACATACAGGCGTTCGATGACGCAATAGCGGAATTGGATACATTGAATGAAGATTCATACAAAGACAGTACCCTCATCATGCAACTCCTTCGGGACAACCTTACCCTCTGGACCAGCGACACACAGGTAAGCACAAGCGTCGCAAACTTCACCCTTATATTTGGTAACTAATTATTTTTTGTTTTGTTTCATGTTTATGCAGGGAGAAGCAGAGGAGCCTCAAGAGGCGGGTGATAATTGAAGTGTGGCGTCCGTTTTTAAAATTTAATCGTTAATAATGAAAATTTCATGTAAGTTAACGTATTCGTGGAACTTGGTTGTGAAGTTTCACATGAAACTTTTGATATTTAAGTAACAATGTTTTTAGTGAAATATGTAAAATGTTAATTTATGTTTCACTTCACACAACAAGTATAACATATTGACTAATGTATGTTGATTTGCCGGCGATAGTAAACGTTGTGTGATCGGAGGTCAATCCGCCTTGATTTTGTCGTACTCAGGGTGAATACTCCTAAAATTTCAAAAAAAATATATATTCATGGGGGCATCGCCCAGAGTCCGCCGTCTCTTTATAATTATTTTTTTTTTGTTTTTTTTGTAACTCACTTTAAATAATTTATTTTTGATTTTAATTTCAGTTTAATTTTACGTTCTAACTTGTTATTACTATTAAATGATTATTTAACACTGTTTTATTACTTGTAATTGGTCCACTTTGTTAAAGGTTCCTTTATATGAGTTTCTTTTTATTTTTTATCAATTTTTCCTTATTTTCTATTCATTTATTCTTTTTACATTTATTTTGCATATATACTTATTTATAATATATATTTTTTCTTCCCAGATTCAACTGAAATCGCCTGAATATTATCCCCCTTGATCCTTCACTCAATTAATTTGCACTTTGCTGCATGGGTCTCTGCTCCTTGCTCCTTCGGCCCCCTACCCCTCCCCTTGTTTACCGTCAACACTCACTTTGGATGTGCTATATATATATATATTAAATGTATGAATATGTATTAAATAAACTGCTATCAGCTCTATTTGTTTCTATTGTATCTGCGAATTATATTTGTCAGATATGAAATAACATTTTTGAAATTACCAAATATATATATCAAAAATAAAAAGAACTTCGGTGCTTCATTTCTCGACAACCATTTTTCATCCCTTTCAGGATCTAGAAATTATATTTATATATACATATATATATATAATCGCGCTAACGCACCGAAATAAAGAAAGTCTAAAAGTTACTCATGGCAGACATTCTTTGAACGCTATTTTTAACAACGGTACGAAGCTAGACCAGATAGGACTATAAATAGTCGACCACACCTACTGGTGAAAAAAACTTGGGATAGTACAATCGAAACCTCTGGTCGGTGTGCATCGTTTCTAGAGCAATGCCAAGATGATTCCATCCAAGTCGTGCTTCTTCTTGGGAATAATCCTAATCTTATATGGCACCAACTATGTAGCTACTTCCGAACAAGGCGAGGTGTAAGTAGTTGAAAAGTGGGTCTGCAAGGATGGTGCTTTTATTCTTAAGCGTTTTTGTAGAATTATGAGATGGGCCGAGAGGTTCGGCAAAGAACTATATGATCTGGGTCTGGTAATAACGAAAAGCATGGAAATCAAATCGGTGAGTAGAAATGATGTCTCTGCAAAAGCAATGGACTTTGAAGGTGGTGGGTGCATTTTGTTAGAGGTACCCGTTGCACAACGCCAGGGTTGAGCGTAAAGATCCCAAGATACTTCTGGCTGAGATTGTTGAGAACATCGAGCGCATGATGGATAGGAAGATGGACGCCATACGAGTAATACAAAAATAAAACTAAACTGATTGGTCGCTAAATTAAAACACTTTCAGTGCATATTGGAAGTAGCTGAGAACGCTGCAGAAAATTTCGAGAGCGATATTGGGAATAGGACTTTGAAGTATTACAGCTCGACATATTCTCCAGTCGATAATGAAACTGTTGAAGTGCCAGATTCCTTGCTGGGAAATGTCACCTATTTACCAATGAGTCTCAACAATGATACTCATTTCTATAATGTTCCGGTAAACACGACCCATAGCTCTGTCCACGTGCCGGTGAACGTATACGATCGCCGTAAGTTATTAAAGTCAAAAGATGCCATTCCATGCAAATCGCGTTTTTTCTTACAGACAAGGATGCTAGAAGTGCAATCGAATGGTCTGAAGCTTTGGATGAAGTCTTCAAGCAAAACTATAATTCTGATCCAGCGCTATCCTGGCAGTACTTCGGTAGCACCTCCGGAATAATGCGACATTATCCTGGTACTGATTTATATTATTAATGATTTATACAAGTTTAATAAAACTTTCGTATTTATAGCAATGAGATGGAAATATTCTGATATAGATTTGTTCGACTGCCGTATCCGCACTTGGTTCATTGAAGCCGCCACGTGTACCAAGGATGTCATTATCCTGGTCGACAGTTCCGGCTCCATGCAAGGGATGAGGAAACACATAGCATCCTTGACGATCTACAGCATTCTGGATACCTTCTCGAACAACGATTACATAAATGTCATGAATTACTCGACGGCGATAAGCTACACGGTACCTTGCTTCGAGAACATTCTGGTGCAGGCGACCAAGGAGAACATCAAAACATTCAAGAAGGCCGTCGAAGCGATCGAACCGGACAACAAGTCAAACGCGTCACTGGCTCTGGGGGAGGCGTTCAAGCTGCTGAAACAAGTAAGTGAACAAAAGAATCGACTTTTGTTTGCCGCAGATTTTTTATTGATTTTGTAGCATTTAATACATGTCAGTACAGGGAGAAAAGAGGATGCGATGAGAATAGTAGTGACTGTAATCAAGCAATCATGTTAGTTACAGATGGGATATCTGGAAATCTTAGTAGTGTTTTTGAAAAGTATAATTGGTATAACAATGGAACTAGCATACCGGTGAGGATATTTACATATCTCATCGGGCCTGAAGTCACCAAAGTCAACGAGATTATGTGGGCGGCATGTACAAATCGAGGTAATATCTTTTTTTATATATTTTCATATACGTTGTTACTATTGTTAACTTTACAGGATACTATTCGCACGTGCAATCGCTGGAGGAAGTTACAGGTTCGGTATTCAAATATATTCCTGTAATAGCGAGACCGCTTGTGCTGCACGGCGTTGAACATCCAATTTCCTGGACTCATGCCTATGTGGATATAACGTACGACGATGAAAACGATAACATTTTCAACGAGCCTTATCGCCTTTTGACGTCGGTTGCTGTTCCTGCCTTTGATAGGAAAGTGAATAGAAATAATGAATCCAGGACAGCGGATTTGCTCGGCGTTGCAGCCACAGATGTACCCATCGATGACATTGCCAAACTCACAATGCCTTATAAAATTGGTGTGATGGCGTTCTCTTTCATAGTGAGCAACAACGGATACGTTTTAATGCATCCCAGTTTAAGACCGGTCTTTAATAAAACCATACTCAAAGAGAACTACAATAGCGTAGACTTTGCTGAAATAGAGCAGCATGATGATGATTACGAAGCTCGCGAAATTAACCCAATGGTACTGGAGCTCAGGGAGGCGCTTGTTAACGGGAGCGAGGGCGGTTTGTTTGGTGCTAAGTTGAAGTACCATTATGACGATATGAGAAGAATCACTAGACAGAAGTACAATTATTACTTCGCACCTCTGTCAGATACTCCATTTTCGATCGGTTTAGCTATACCTGACACTTACGGTAATTTCTCAATTGAAGTTGGTGATGAGATCCAGAAGAATAGACATACCGGCAGCAACATTACGAGCTTTTTCAAAGGTTCCAATTGGAAGATCCATCCCAAATGGTAATTGTAAATCTTTTGTAAACTTAAAACTTTTAAACAATTTATTGCCAGGGTTTATTGCAAATACCATTACTTGGAGGGCCATGAGTTTGAAACTCCCGAAGCGGAATTGTTGCACTTCCTTAAGAGAATGTACGACAAAGATTTTGTTTGGGAAAGACAGTATGAGGCGAATGCCAAGCATATACATGAACTTTACGAAATCGAAGTTGAAGATAACGATGACAGTGAGAGCTAACATTTTTGTTTCATGCTGCAACGTTTTCTATTAAATTGTTTTAGTTGAATGCGGTAGAAAAACTCTGAAGGATGACGATTATTACTGTGATAGGGATCTGATTCAGCGACTTATATTTGATGCTAAAAATACGCTGGAAGTGTTCAAAGATCCGTGGAAGTTTAACAACGATCGCGAGAAGTCACTATTTGAAAGATACAATGCCACGCTGAGGTTCGTTGCAACGATGAGTGGACTGACTAGATGGGAATATATATTTGGAGAGGAAGATGATGTCCAGAAAGAGTACAACACCTTAACTATTATATATACATGGAATTGTTTTAATTACTGGTGATTTTAGGGAATTCGGCGATAAACATGCTAGAGCAACGGATGAAACCTGGTATAAGAGTGCTGTCCTCCAACATCAATATGATACCGAGTCGTTTGTATATTCGGTTCCATTTGAGTCTGGAGGCACAGATGACATTTTAGTCACTGGAAGTTACTCTATTTTTCCAAAGGATGCTGGTATGGAAGCGCCGGGTTCGGTGGTCGGCTTCCAGTTTTCTCACGATCACATGCAGAAGAGGTTCTTAGAAATCGTTTCAAAAGCAGAGGCCAATACTGTAGCTTGTAGTGAAATGTTGGATTGCTATGTAGTAGATAGTTCGGGATACATTGTCATCTCACATGATCAAAATAACACCGGCCATTTTTTTGGTGAAATTGAAGGTGCTGTCATGGATTCGATGCTCGAAAATGGCATATTCGAGAAGGTTGTTATCTACGACTTTCAGGGGTACTGTTTGAATGAAACCGAGAAGAAAACCAGCGATGGTGGACATTTACAGACGGTGTGTATTCCATTAAGATACTACAATTTATTGATAAATAATTGTATTTTAGCCGTATGATATTATAAGGGGAACTTTCAACTATCTCTTTGGAAATATCGTCTGGTTGTTCGTAAAAAGCAATCTTTATCAATTGTGGGATCCAAATTGGGTCACGGCCGAAGAACTATTAACGACCATAAGTCCGCGATTTGCCCAAGCAGAAGAGGAATACGAAGAGGTCTTGGAAGCGAAGAAGGAAGAGGATGAGGAAAATGTGTACTACCCTTGCGATCTGCAGAGGGATCTGTATCTTCTCCAGCAGAACAAATTCATCAGAGACAACGGTTGGAGAGGAGATTCGTTGAATGCTTTCTTCGTTAAACGTATCCCGCACAGTAACCTGATCTTAGTAGCAGTTAATGTTACTTTTAAGAACTACGACATTATTTACACCACCGCACCCAAAGATGTAGAATATCCGTACGACCAGCAACATCCTTGTCAGAAATTGAACCTAACTAACTTGCCGAGGAGAAGATTAAAAGGTTGTTTCAATGAGCACCCAGAAGTAAGTTTTTAAATAAGATTATACATTTTATTATTAAATTCCACTTTATGTACAATTTCAGGAAAACGAAATCAAAACTTGTGGTAGATCGTCTACAATATCAATAAGTGTGCCACTATTTGCGTTTATTTTATTTTTAATACTTAGCTAAATTGCTGTTTGTGTGAATATAACAATCAATAATATAATAAAGCGGTTTTAAAAAGTTTGGTAATGATGCTCGAGAATTATTTGGCCTCTGCTCATTTTAACACAAGCCTTTTCCACTTCGTTGATCATTTTCAGATTACCACAGCTGAAAATTCCGATCTTATAGATGTCATAGGTATTGTTTGTGATGACACGTTGAAAGAAATCCTTGAATTTCGGTCGTCCGAAGTGCGTATCGGCTGTTAGGTTGGTGAACAACGATTTTTTTGTGATCTGTTTAAAATGGTGTTCGAATATGTACAGCATAAACATTCTAAAGTCGTAAAACTGTGTCACATAAATGTGTGTAGAAATTATTTTATTTACATCGCGCTCTTCAATGTTTCTTAATAGATCTATGAGCCATTCAAATTGTTTTTGAGATCTAGATATCCACATGAAGTATACCTTTTTAGAAGTAATCTCTTGATTAGTAGTTGTTTTGTGAATAATATCTTTTAGTATACTAGCGAATGGTGTGACACCAATACCTCCTCCTATCAAAATTGATACTTCATATTTGGACCAGTCCTGGTGGCTTTCGCCAAAAGGACCGTCGATAAATAATGTTGGTAAATTCGATTGATTTTGCTGCTTCTTCACCAATGCGTTTTCATACAACTTGCGGATCTGACGTGTCCAAGGTCCCACCGCACGAATATGCAAAGATAAGAAACTTTCATCAGGACTTGATGATAACGTGAATGGATTATATTCGTGCTGACTCAAATCCAAGCAGGCAATCCGCACCCATTGTCCTGATTTATATGTAAAATTGAGAGGTTTCTGAAAAAAAATTTGTACGTTGTTTACAACGAATTCGATCTTCTTTCTGCTTAAGCTCATGATTTGATCGATGGTAAAAATAATTATGGGTCCCAACAAGAAGTAGTACGTAAAAGGTTCCTAAAACAAAAGTTTTTCTTTAAGAAAAATATTGCTTTAAATGGAATTCATTATTATGTTACCTGAATCAACATACCACTCCCATGAAGAAGCAAGAAAATGTAAAACAGTGGATAGAAAGAGTGTGAAAACCAGAAGATTTTATACAGTTTTTCTCTGGCTATCTTATGTGCAAATGTATATATAATTGCTGTAATCAGCGTTAATATAATTCCAGTTATACCAGTCATTGTTTGCCAGCACCAGTAATGGAATTTAGGTATTTCATGTGTCCTAAATGAACTTAAATGTTATTGACTGTTAAGAGAACAGAGAAAATAAGACTTACGCGTGGAAATAATTTCGAAACAAACAGGTAAGATCGTCGGATGCTTGAGTGGATATATGATAGAAATTGAAGGCATGTCCAATGATGTGCATTACTAGAAACAACACAGTCATAATAATAATAACTTAAGGTTTGATTCAATTTACCTGTAAATAGGAGAGCCCATGACGCAATATACTTATGAAAGTCCACGAAGGAATCGAAAGGTATATATTGCTGTAATATGGTGTTTCTCAGTATTGTAATAAGATTTCGACACATTGTTATTAGCAATGAGGAAAATGTAAACATCATTGCCGAAGCAGCTCTTCTAGTAACAGTTACACCATAACCTGCGATACGCATAAGACCGGAATGTTCTCTTTCCACGGAATATTCTTCAATAGTTAATAACAGTTTTCATAAATGCTTAGTGTATAGTTTTGTATCTTACAGTAGGATCTTTCTGCGAAGATGGCCAATAGTACTAATGTATACAAGGTTTTCCAAAATATGATATTTGCATTTTTCTCGATTTGATTTACAAACGCAAAGGTGTTATGTTGATTTTGTTGTAGCTCTTGATTTTCATTGTTGGCTTTTTCCTCGTTAGGTTCGCTTAATGTTCTACAATAGCATGAATAAAGAAAAAAAATCAATGATATTCTAATTGCAAATACATACCCGTATATATCTTTTATTATATTTCTCCTAGAACTTTCAAAGTTTTGAAAACTGTTCGTATTATATTTGAGCCGCAAATTAACATGTTCGAAATGCGTTCTATATTGACCCATAACTTTCTTCAAAATCTTCAAAACTTAATGAGGATTGATCCTGCAGATTGGCTCGATTTATTAAACTGTCCATAGTTTTTTTTCAAATCGTTATTAATATGACCATTTACGTTTTCCATAAAAGATCTTAAAGATGAAAGTTATATAAAAAAACCCAATACAACATTTACGAGCGACTTACAAAATCATATTCTTAAACGATTCCATTGGTAATGTATTTTCATTATTGATGGTATACATGTCGAAGAGCAGCTTTGCTTTATCCGAGTCGGTGCCTTTAGCGAAGATTATTCACCGAATGAAACATAATTATTTGAATCTTTAACGATCAGTTTAAACATCAATTTTACGAATATCGAGTCCGGTCGCATATTCAGCAAATTTCCAAACTCTTCTGATGTCAATTCCATTTTTAAAATATTCTCCATTTTAGCATCAGATATATGCTTTTGCTTTTGATTTATAGGTAAATTAAATGCTTTGGCGAAGACTACACGAGCGAAAATTTCCAACTATTTCTGTCGCTGTTTCTTTGATATTATATTTGGTAATAATTCTTTAAACGTTTTATTTACTTCCTGATGTACATTACATCCAGATTCCATTAAAGAATCTACAATCTTATTATAGATTCTATGCTGTATACTTGCTCTATCAAATGTTAGAACCTGAAACGCATTCTATAAACAATAACATTGTAAAATGTATTTCTAATTACCAAGTCGTATTCATTTCTTGGTTTGATCACTATGTATGGTTTATCAGTAGTCGCAATGCATACAACGTCGATACACTGTATCTTATGTAGCTTGATTTGCATTTTGGAAAAGACTATAAGAGTGCTATCAATAATTTGTACTATAACATCTCTTGTGACGCCTTTCTTATTGATCATTTCTTTCGCCAAGATACCTGAAAAGTAACTTATTATTTTACCTCTCAATTCAAATCTTATTAGCATACAAACCATGATCGACGATTTCCTTATTTAAATTTGATTCCGTTTTTTGTTGTTTAATATAAACTAGACTATATATGACTCCAATTATTCCAACAATAAATCCACCGAGTATTGCAAATGTTAGAATAAAAGATAATTCGCTGCCATAGAAGTAGTCGAACGTGGATCCTTGTACGCAAGCTTCATTCAGTACTTCTGCAGTTAATATTGGCAAGTGAAAACACGGGAAAGAAGTGTTATATTCACTGCAGGCGCTTTCTTTTAAATTACAGGCAGCGAACTGTTTCTTGCTTTTTGGTACTCGAAATACATCCTTCTGAATGTCATTAAAATCCAACATAGTTACGGCCATAATTATGTCGTAAAGAGTGACAGTTTTGATCCTTATTATTTCTTCTTTAGTAAATAGTCTATAATGATATACATATGATATTAATTGTTGCGATGATCGGTTAGAAGTAAAGAACTACATTATTATTTTTGTGATCTTTAGGGAATACTTACCCATTCGCTGTATTTTAGTACCAAAATCGAATTCTTCGAAATTGGTCGATGATGATTGCTTCAAATAGTTCGCCTGGTCCGTCGCGCGTTTCGAGTATCCCTCCAACCCAAGTGTCAATGTTATCAAAATTATTTTCATATAATTTAAGTAATTCTTCCTTAATCTAGAAGTGAATTTTTGTTTTTAATATCAATGTTGCGTGTATGGTAACCATTCGTCCATAATGATATGCTGCTGGGTAGCTATAACCCATTTTCTAGCCTCATTAAACACCTTCTCACTGGGCCAATCAGCATGCTGATTTCTTATAGTTTTGGCCAAAACGTTATGCCAACGGAACCAAAGAATGCCGAACGTTAACAGAAACGTATTCTCGTTTCCTCTGGGATTACCTAACTCTGTTTTAAACGAAAATACACGATAAATGAAAATACTAGACAAAGCTAATCAAACTTACTGAAAAATCTGCTTACGTTGAAGATTACGTGATTTTTAATGAAATCTTTGTGATGAAACGGAGGCGGAGGATTGGCTAAAGGCAATCTTTGAGTATTATACTCAGGGAAGAGACCATCATGAGAGGATGCCAGTAATCCATCTGGATCAAGTTGATCCTCAGTTGATCCGCCCATTGCTTGCTAACGCCATACATCAAGCCGCCGTCTATGTAAGGTGTAATTTCGTTTAATTGCTGACGAGGATTATTTGGATTAAGACCAGTTCTTTGATCAAATCTTGTCCTCAGTAGAGGCATCTCCGTGTGCGTACTTAATTTTGGATACCTATGATACTCTGGAATCTTTATATTAAAATATTCCGGAGGACATGCGGCTCGTTGCGCATCCAAAATTTCCTCCACCACTTGCTGACCTGCAAAATCTATTTGTATAACACATTTTTTTTATTATCTGTTTTTATTTACCAAAGAATACAAGCAATGCGTTTTTGTCGGTTTTTTATTGCGATCCGACCGGTCCGCTCAGCAATTTATCGCTGAGTTCGAATGGATTTGGTCTATCACTTCCTGCCGGTTTGTAGGTACCATCTTCGTATGCTGCAGGCCACCTTCTCAACAGCGGTTTATCTGAAAAATTACTCTAAATATAATATGTAATACTAGAAGGAACCTTAACGTACCTATTGCCCCAGAGTCTGGACGTGTTAAATTATTATACCAGCCATCATATCCTGGGAATTCGACATAGGTCTCCGAGGCGTTTTGAAGAAGCCAAAACGTGTAACCATGTGGTGTGTCGTGAATATTAATGAATTTCTTCTTGGTGTTTTCCGAAATCGCAACCGAAAGGATGCAAAATACCAAGCACGAAACGCGTATTAAAACCATCGCATCTAAAATAATTATCCATATTAATATACTATTTATATACGATAATTTACCTTTATTTACATTAGCTTTACAAAAATTAGTGCATTTGCGATATGATCTATGAACTTTGATAAATATTTAATTATATAATTGATAACAGATATTCATGATTACTGTGTTTATGTAATTACTATGAAATTTTCCGTACATTGTACCGTGATGTTAATTTTACGTGTTGTAACTTTAAATTAATAATAACTATTTTTTTCTGTACCCCTTTGGTTCGCCTTTAAAAATACACTAATTATGTAAGAATTTAATGGGTGAAACATATGTACGTGTATAATTGATGAATTGGATGGATTTTTGATATATAATTTAATTTTAACCCCATAGATAAACCAGCGTATGGTAAATCTAGTGAATCAAAACGAGATCCGTAGCATATTCTGTATGAAACAGGTGCAACCTCGTGAAGGTTAATTGCAAAACGGTCTTGAATCAATTCAGAGGCTATGTTTTGCGCTTGAATTGGTACCTGGTTATCATCTTCGAAAGAAGATGATATACCTTTGGCACCTGGATATGCGGCCACGTGGAAGCCGCTGCTCTCATTTACAGCAAATGAGAACAAACGCGTGACCGCACACCCGAGAGGAATTAAAAATAAAATAGGAAAATTTAGGAAAGAAGGAAATGCTATGATCTATGTACCTGAAACAGAACACAAAGAAATGACACACACCCGACACAAAACATGAACGAAATATACGTTTACACAATCTATAAGATCGTATTAAAAAATACGATACACATTTATAATTACAATAAAAATAAAATTGCATTCCACATTGAACATCATTATAATATTTAACAGGAGAGAAATATATGGAACATCCATTTTCTCTGTCTTGTTTATTTTTTTTATTATTAATCCATATTTTATGTTTATTTTTTTTAATATTTTTTTATGTATATATTTGTTTATAC